AGGATGAAATATGTTGATCTAACGAAGATAAAATATGTAGTGATATAGACCAGAACTTTGAGGTGTCACCGTACTAGCCTCAGACCAGCTGAGAATGCTAAGAGGGGAGATGTTTAAAGGCTACGATTATGGCTGAGGTGGAAATATTGTAGAGTAACAACAATAGAGAGCGAATGGAGAAGATGAATAATGAGGGAGCTAGGATTCCTTTATATAGGAGGTTGGAGATTCCCTTAAAGTGCGTAAAGTGTAAAGTCATAACTGTTTTCAACCTTGTATGCCCTACAAGGCATGAGGCTGCACGACCCATGAGATGTAAAGGGTCATGCATGCGTGCAGAATATGAAGGGACATATGTATAGGGGAGTCATGTGCTCCACGTGCCAAGTGATGATGGTCATGCCGAGCAATTCTTTGTGCTAGTGAGGTAGGGCCATCTGGTCAGACCAGAATAAGATATATAATGGTTGCTTTACCTTTTTGAACTGAGGAGTTTAGCAATGTTTCTCTTAATAGGATGAAGTATCTTGTTGTAATAATGTTTTTAGAGATAGTGGTATAGACCAAAGCTCTCTAAGAGAGTCCCCGTATATATCTTAGGCGAAGGTTGAGAGTGGGGATGGTGTGATGTGATTTTATATTTTGGCAGACTAATAGCTCGTAAAAATAAAGGATGCAAGATATCCCTTCAATGGTGGAATAATTGTCATAATGATATATATACATGAAAAAATATTTCCTAATAATAAAAGGGAGAGAGCTATAACATTTTGCCTAATGGACCCCACTCTTGTTCGTAAGGCGGCACACCTCCAAAATTGTATAAGTTGTGCATGGAGTTAGTAATCCTTTATAACGAGGGTTTAAAAATCTCACTTCATGAAAATAGGGAAGTGATGACCCCTTACATTAGCCTTTAAGATCGGACCACAAAATAGGGCTGGTGAGGCCATTCCAAAACACCTATATCTTCACCCTTTTTATTATTTATTATTTATTGGAATACCACCTTTTCAAACTTTTCCTAAGGCCATCAAATGGCTCTATTAAAGTAGGGTTTTATAATTCTCATTTAACATAAGAATTACAATTTTTCTACACACCCTTTGATTTTCGTGCTGACATGGGTCCTACATATAATTCTTTCTAACACATGGGTCTCACATGCTTTTTATCTCTACAACATGAGATTTCAATTCTCCTTCAACATCAGAATTATAAAACTCATTATGTTTGCTCAAGGTAGAGAATAAGTTTCTATATTTGACATTCATGTGTTTTAAATTACTACAGGAAAGATAAATGCTTCAACAACATGAAACCTAAGTAAATCTCTCTCTAAGTTTGGAAAAAGTGTCAGCATTTCTTCGTTGAAACGCATGATACGGAATCTGTCAACAATGGAGTTGAATGCCAAATTGAGAATAGTATGGAAAAGGGAGTTTTAAGTTGACTTTTCTGCTATGAAATGAACAATTTCAACTCAGCTTTCTGCTTTACAATTTAGACAAAGTTGCGGTCATATGTTAATTATTCACTTCATTCTTTTCTATAAGTGATTATTTAATTTCCTAGTTCTTGCATCTACAATTTTTTTCCCTTATGCTTTTGTCGGCCTTAGGAAAGGAATCTTTCATCTATGTACTCAAATGGACGTTGACTTGTTCATTGATTCTCTCGAAGTTGTAGAAATGGTACTGTTTTACCGGTCGATATTTGCCCATTATGATGGCCGGCCGTGTAAGGCTCATTAAAGGTCGAACCAATTATTAAATGGTGTTAGCTCATTTGGTAGTAAGGGTGTTGAGTAGTGGAAAGGAGTCTCGGTTCGATTCTCATATGTCACTTTTAAAAATGGTTTAAATATCTTCATCCCTGACTCACTCTATATTTTGAATTAGTCCCACAACCGAACAACGGATAAAATAGCCGAAGCTCATGAGAATACTAAGAAAAGCCAACTCGCCTCAAAAGATAATTAGAATCAGATAACTCTTAAAAAAAAAAGTCCAACCAATTGACACTCTCTGAGTGAATTCACAAATCTCTCTTGGCTTATTTTTTTTCATTTCATTATTAGAGAATATTCTCCCGTATATAGAAATCTTTTTTCTCTAATTGAAGATGTATCATATCACACACTTTTATGAGATGTTATTCTGCCAAATTTTAGAGCTATTATAATCTATACAAACCACCCATCACAACCACCCCCCCCCCCCCCCCCCCCCCCCCCCCACCCTAACATTCTAAGAGCTTTGTTATATATTATTACCTCTTTAGACGCCCATGCATTAAAGATACTACATCCCTAAAGAGATAGAGACTTAGCTCTCATGTACATATAGTCTAAGGACATAAATACCTACATTTATGGAACAATTGTTGCAGATATATCAACTTCATCCGCTGTAATTGGCCGGAGGTGTTTTATAAAGGAAAATGATACTTTAAACATAAATTATGTAAGACATGTAATATAATAGGGTTATATTACTCTCATGTTGCATGAGATAATACAACTTTTTACACATCCATCGATTTCCGTGCTTTTTTTTTCTTTTTTTTTAATAAATAATGGGGCCCACAACATGATTGTATCTACAAAATAAGATAATATATCTCCTATTACATAAGAGTAATATAACCCAATATAATATGGACTGGTTAGAAAAAAATAAAATAAAATTAAAGTTTATTTTGACAACTCATCTGAGAATTGAATATATAAAAAATGAATGAGTTTGCAACTATGACACTCATTAAAAAGGATGCCATAGCGCACATCTTTTGACAAATTTTAGAGATACCAAGAACCACAACTTGATACTTTAGGGACCAGGGAGCAGCCTCTTTTGATTTATCTTTTTAGTTTTTTCAGCAAGCCAGTGTACATTTTAAAAAAAAAAAATTATCTTTTCATTACTTTTAGAAAAAAAATATGACAAATACCTATTTGATCTTTCTAATGCAAATCATATTAAAAGATGAAAATCTAGAGTTTAGGAAAAACTCGAAGCAGTGCGAGATGGAAGGCATTATATTTTCGCCCAATTATACAAGCCATTAAATGAATATCAGTACTAATTATCTGAAGATGAATGTTTATACACAAGGTTTAATGAAAAGTTCTTACGTTTGTTGTAAAGTTTACAATGAAGGGAAGTTATCATTGTTGTAAAGTTTATGTAAATTAATAATCGGGAAAATATTTCTGTCGCAGATAAGTTATCTGCATTTTTTCTTAAAACGACGTCGTTTTGATATTGAAATCTTAAAAAATTATAAATATAAAGACTATTTTAACCCTGAAATAAATTAAAATTACAAAAATATCATGATTTCTGCTCAAAACGACGTCGTAATAAACTTACTGCAGAAAAAGCGAACCCATTAGTAATTTTATTTTGAAATTTTATAATACATATTAAGGAAGGATTTGTAGATTCAAATTCATATTATTCAGTATTCATGAACGAGAGATTAAATAAATGCGTCAATCTTTATTAGCTTTTTTTTAAGTGAATATTATAATTAATAATTTACATATATTAACATATTTCTAGAAAGAATAATAATAACTCCTGCTATTTAATTATTCTAAGAATCCTTAATTACTTAAAGAATAAAACAGTGAATTCTTTTTAAGTTTCCCGAACGTTATGTTTTTACTTTTTAATTTAATATTTATTATTTTAAGTAACTATGCGGATATAAGAGAATTTTTCAACAAGGACTCCCTTTCAAAATACGCCATTTAAGAATTTTCACAAGTTTAGAAAGTTGTTAAATACTTATAAGGAAAAATTCTTTTCCTATGAGACAAATGGAAAATAAAGTGATTATTGGGGAGATATTTAACCTTTGTCACACTGAAGGCCTACGTTTCGCAATGTATATATATAAAAAAAAAAATTGTTAAGGTATATGTCTAAAGAAAACGTTTTCCTGCAACCCAAAAATGATTTTTTTTTAAAAAAAATATAAAGTATTTAAAATTTTTTATTTCTATTACAATATGAAAATTTTCAAAACTCATTGTATTCTTTTTCTCATACACAAAAATGATGTCATTTTGAGCAGCAGGACATGATTTTATCTTATAAACATTATATTTGACTATTTTTTATAATAAACTATTTAAAATATTATAAAGGGAGAGGTTATAGTTACAACCTTTTTTTTACAACCATATATCATAACCGTTGATTTCCGTCAATCAACGGTTATGATTTTCGCAAATTAAACTCATTAATTAATTATTAATTCATCATAAATGACAACCGTTGATTGGTAGAAATCAACGGTTATGATATATGGTTGTAAGAGGTTGTAAAAAAAAAGTTGTAAGTATAACATTTCTCTATTATAAATTTATGAATATTTTCTCTTATTTTATTATAAAAATATCGAAAGACAGTAATAAAATTTAAAAATAATATATTATGAATTTCAAAAAACAACAGTAATAGTATAATACGAAAACATATTCATTATCTAAAAGGACAAACATTTCAAAACAAATAGAATATGATATAATATTATTATTTTTAAAATAAAAGTATAACTAGTAAAATAATTTTTTATCTTCCTAACTAATTTTCTTAACGATCTTTCAAATAAATAGTGAAAAATAATTAAATATTTTTATATTCTTAAAATATTCAATCCGTTTACTTTTTAAATTTATACCTTTTTTTATTAAATATCAAAAAAATATTCCATAAAAATGATATTACTCTTTGTAATTAGACCCACACAACCTTAGCATGTAATATTCACCTAAAAATTTCTCAAGTGTGATTTAATGTTTGTGAATTGTGATATTGTACACAAGAACGACGGTTCTTTTGTGAATAATAATAAAATCAGTCAATAGGTAATACCAGGTTGCCGGTGGACGGTTCAATCATCGGAAGAAAGACCCAATAGTTTTGGGACTGTAAAGTTACACTTATCTTATCAATATCGCTGTCAGTATCTTCTCTTTATTTACAATCACATAATAATAATAATAACTTGAGTGAGGAAACTTGAGAGTTGAGAAAGAAATAGAAATAGAAATAGAGAATGGATGGGATACAAATAGCTCTGCCTATTCTTGGAATTGTTGCAGCTGCAGCTGTGACCTTTTATGCAGTAAGTTTTTCTGAGATTAGAGAGGTGAGCAACATCAACCATCAATTATGTCCATGCCCTTTTATCAATTTCCTTTAAAAATCTAAAATTTAATTTGCAATATTGGCACAGAAAACATTTAGAGATTTGGATGAATCCGAATCTGAATCCCAAAATGGAGGTTATAAGCCATCCTTTAGCTCCCGAGAGAGGCGAGCTAGACGACAAGCTAACAAGAATTCCAAAAATTGAGGTGAGGAATTGCTTTCCACGGAACCGTCTTTCTATCTTCTTCTTTTCCTTTTTCTAAGAAAAAATAGACAATAAAATTATTGTAATGAGATGTACTTAAATGTCTATGTAGTTCGGTTGCCTTTCATTTTCTTTGTGTGTTTCGTTACTCAATTAATTCATATTTATTATGCTACTACAATAAACCCTAAGTTTGGTTTGCAGAATGTTGAAAGCCCCACGTTCATAGACTTATTCAATGATGTGTGTTTAAACAATGAATATCACCTCTCGTTTGTTCTGCAATATTTATTGTTGCAAACTTGGCAGGAATTGAATAATATGTACCGATTAATTAAAAGTCACACAACTGAAACTACTTTAAAATCATTGCTATCCATGTAACATTGTTAATGTCATTTTAAAATAAACGTCGAATTCGACAATGCCGAAACTTGAATTTCGTTGAATTGCAAGTTTAATCGTGGATTTATATTTCATTATTATAGACAAACTCTTTTCGCCCTGCTATTAACCTGGACCATTGGAATACTTTTTCATTTACTCAAAGATCGAGAATGAGTGAGGAGTATATACTCACTCGTCTCCTTGACTCCTTCAATTCCGATCTCATCCACTGTCGACGATTGCACTGACTTCATCCATCGTGCACCCCTTCCCGAATCCTCAATTAAGTCCAATATTTACCAAAAAAATTTCAGGACAGCAGGAATGCCCACTTGGATACTCCTTTTTTATAAAAATGGAAAAAAAAATTCCCGTTTAAATCCAGCTTTTAAGTTCTAAAAAGTTTCCTTTATTTGGAGGGATGTACCATATATCCGCTGCATTGAACATTTTTTCAAGATTTACACAATGGTATTATTAAAGATAAGCAACAGAGGTATAATATAGATGAGAGGATGGAGGGTTGTGTGTGATCACAAAAGAGGAAGAGTGCTTAGCTTGCTATGTGTATTTTGTTGTTTATCCCGTGACATGCGATAAAAACATCCATATAGATCATAACGATCTAACTACTCAACAATTCTAATACAGAACCACATATGCACTCAAATTATAGAATCACAGATGCACTCAACAATTCTTCGACTTCGCCTTTTCATTATAATTTTTTCTCCGTAATTCTATGGCGTAATGGTTACTCACATTCCTCATACTTTTCTACAAGCCACTAGTTACTCAAGATCACTCTTAACTTATTCTTAATGGTTGATGGCTTGATGCAACACATACTTTGTAAAGACATACTTTGTAAACACATACTTTGTAAAGACATTGTAAAGCCACTATTATTTTACATGAACACGAATAAATCTTCTACCTACATCACATCATTACAATTTCTACCACATGATTATAAAATTTCTGTACACAGACACTCTTGGTAAGGTGCATTGTGAAGATGCCTAAGTAGCATTTGTTTAGCATATATATATATATTACCGTGCAACTAGTCAACCAATTTACTAACATTTACAATAACAAAAAGATAGCAACAAAGTTTTATCCAAAGCCAAATATCTGGCAAGTTATTACAATTAATAATTCCTCTTCACACGAAGGCAACCGAATTTATTATGTCATCATCGGCCTCAGCTACTTGTGCTGAGACTTGAGCTCGTGTACCTTCTTTTCCGTTTCTTTTAGAGCTTTCCCATAAATGCTGATTAACTGGGGGGAAAAAGAAATGCAAGTCTCAGACTTGTAAAATCTTAATTTAAAGTAATAAGGGCATTATAGTTAATCAGGCTGAGATTTGCATTTCTAATACATGAAGGGGGGAAAACCCAGTTGTGAGCTACATATTGTTTATATGTCAAGAGATATACACAATTTATGTTGATTCAGAGAGGGAACATAAAACAAGCACACATCGGACTTCTGAGTCTTGAAAGTCACTCAGCAACATTCAATAGAACCTTAAGCTATTGTATTAATTAATCAAGTTTGGGTACTTACAATCAATTTTTTTTAGCATACAAAGTGTCCCTTGGTGGGACTGGGAATGAGCAGATAACTACTTGTTTATATTGGGGAGAGGCCAAATTTTTTCCATGATTACTGTGTATGTATAATTTTTAAAGTACGTCCCATCTGAAACAATTTTTTCTTTTTTTGGAGTTAACTCAACCTTAATTATCTCTTTGAGACGAGTTGACTCGCCCCAGTATCTCCACAAGCTTCAACTCTTTGAGTGGCTATGAAACTAATCCGGAGTGCGGAGCGAGTCAGCGATGAAAATATTTATATTTAAACTCCTTCCAAAAGTGGCATATGGGAATGAAACCGAGACCCTTTCCTTTCCGCTTACTCAAACAAATTTAATCTGCCCCCTCATTGAATGTTTTGTAATGTATAAACGAGTAAGTACGTATTTAGCAACCGCACCTAAAATTTCCCAGTTCCGACCCTAGCAATCTCTAAAAGAAGCCTAGGATGACTGAACAGAAAAGTACGTTTGTCCACCACAATCGCATTCATTACTCTTGCAAAGTGAGTTATTTTTCATTTGATATTTTCTTGTTTTGGTTCAAATGCTGAATTTAATGAAAATAGATAAAGTGTTCTTTAATTTTGATAAGTGGCAAAAAATATTGAAAGGTTATTTGTGAATTTACCTTGTCAATTTCTTCTGGGGAAATGACAAATGGTGGACACATCATGATGTTATCTCCAGCTACACGAACTAACATCCCGTGCTTCTCACATTGTGCTCCAAAATATGCACCTACTCCTGTAATAAACATCATAATGTCAGAACAAAATATGGAAAATATGCCCATAGCCATATAAAAACAGCATGCTTGTTTAACTTGTGTAACCAATGAACTGATACATCCCTGTTAATTTACAACAACAACAAAAAAAGGTGAGCGGCCAAGATGTAGACTATCCAATCCATAATATTGACCTAACAACAAATTTATCATTCGTTTTTTATAGACTCTAAACTTGAAAACGAGGCATCCCACTTAATGTTGAAATGTCTCACGGAGATTGCGTAAAAGGATAGCCATAAATTAGATATGTATTCTTCTTAAATTACTGTTAAGATTAACAGAAAGGATAAAATAGCCAAGTTGTGTCCAGTGTGTTAAACGGGCAAAGGGATAGGTGAAAAATGAGTATTGAACTTGCCCCATTCAGGAGGGAACGGATCATTAGGTGACTTGTTGTCTGTGAACTCAGTCCCCAGAATCAAGCCAGTTCCCCGTATCTGCAGATCCAGCAATGTAACGTTTGTCATGCACTTATATTAAACACAAACTTAAAATTACCCAGTAAATAACATATATACCTCTCCAATGATGGGACTGTCAGAATAAGCTTTTATGCCATCTTGGAACCTTGGGGAGATCTTGTTCACTATGTCAACAATATTTCTTTCCCTGGGAAGATGAAGAATTATCATACTTCATAGCCAAAAGATTAAATCTATGCAAGTGGATAGAATAAGCATAATATTAGTTTTTAAAATCTAGAAATAAAGGAACATACTTGTAGATCTTGAGTGCTTCAATTGCAACGGCACAGGATGCAGGGTGTCCAGAATAAGTGAATCCATGAGAAAATGTACCTAAAATAAGCAAACATGTGTCAGAAATACTAAGTCTAAAGATGTGGTGATGAATGAATGAACCACCCTACCAAGTTTGTTGCTTTGCGAGTGTATAACTTCTGAGACTTCTGGGCTCACAAGAACAGCTCCGATCGGCAAATATGCGGAAGAAAGAGCCTAGAAGTCAAACAGAAAAATGAGAAAGGCGGTACAAACTTTTAAAAATATGAAAAGATGAATCTGTACCTAGTGCTGTTTCACGTTTACCTTAGCCAGGGACACAAGGTCTGGCTTAATGTTGTACTTGTCACATCCAAACATTGTCCCAAGCCTTCCAAAGGCACAGATTACCTTCAAAAGAGACATATAACCCACAATCAGTATCGAAAACTCCACAAACGGATATCTTGTATAACAGTTTTTGAAGAGTTACGGAAGTACCTCATCTGCAATAAAAAGAATGTCATACTTTTTGACAACGGCTTGGATCTGCATAAGAATTAAATGCGATGAGGTAAAAGTTGTTTTTTCTTTTTTCATTTAGGAGGAGGAGGTAGAGTGAAAATGGCATCATTCAATGTCGCATGCTAAAAAAATCACCCATCAAGCAAAATTATGCATGACATCAGTTTGCAAAACAGAATTATTTGAAAGAGCAAAAATATACATTTTATTTGCATATTTGACTTTGGGATAAGGCTACTCTGAAGTGCACAAGGGTGTATTCACCCTTAAAGGGGCTTAAGTTTACGGGGTACTTTTAATTTAAATCATTGGTAGATGCGGTTTACTCACATTAGAAGTTTTTTTTTTTTTTTTTTTTTTGAGTAAATGGGGAGGGGACAGAAATACAACAAACTAATGCACCTATTTATACTACTAATTAGGTCAAACACTATTACTTCTATTATATTACAAGCATATATATATATTTATATATATATTATATTAAATTATTAATGACCATAATATCTTCAAATAGTTCTAAAACTAGAAATTTTTTACCAAGAATTCCTTTTAGTAATTTTATATTGCAGCAACCATTAGATTATAAAAAGTACTTCATGATAAAGGTGAACCAATCAGCTGGTAGTTTTAAAAGGAAAATCATCTTGTATCTGACTAATCTCCCATAAGATCATGGTGATGGTGGTGGTAGCACTCTTGGTTCTACAGATTAAAACATATTCAGAGATAGTTTATAATTGAAGCATTCATGTCTTCGGGACTGACTGGGAATGCAAATGAAAATGCATTATTAATCCAAAACACATAGAAGCGATCTCTTAGGCATCCAGCTTGAAATTGTAGAATTCATGTCTGAAGCATTGATGATGAAAAAATACCTTGTCAAAATAAGTTGATGGTGGAGGTATTACACCTCCTGCCCCCATAACGGGTTCTGCAATGAAGGCAGCAATCTGTAACAAAAAACCATTTAAGTCAATGGTAAAGTCAATGTTCCAGTAGCAGAAAACACTCATGCATATGAATATATTACTGTCTCTGGTCCCTCTTTCAGAATCAGGTCCTCCAAATTGTTGGCTAATCTGGTTGAAAACTCTTCCTCTGTCTCGCCTGAGATGTTCATAAGCATGCATGATATTTATGCCTTAAAACAAATGTCTCAAATATTAGAGAAATATGTCCATCCAAATAATAACCTGGAAGATGATACCGC